GATTTTCTGATATATATGTATATATATGTATGTAAGAGGCTCGCCTCCAACCACCCCGCCAAACAGCAGTTTGACCTGGCCTCACAAGCCTGTGGTGCGCCTGCTGCCGTTGGTGACAGCAATCGAGTCGAGGAGGGACATATGCCCTGCTCGTGTATTCTAGTCAGGTGCGTATTCGTTATGCACTCAGCTGGTTGGGAAAGTAATTGGATAAAGTTTGGCCGGCACTTTCACATAGGCCTTCTCTAACGACCACTTTGCCGTTCATCACCGGTCGGTTAGTGAGAAGCATAGGTGGAAAGATATAAAAGCGGAGGTATGCGTACTCGGGTTCATTGATTATAAGAGATAATGATGTCCACTCATATTAGAAAAGTTGAACTCCAGCTTTTCCAAAACATCTAACGACCTTGTGCTTTTTAGATCCAATTAAGTAGGTTTGTGCAATTCCCTGAATTGTCGAACCTGGGCTAAGGATCAACCACAAGAGACTTACAAACAATAATATTTTTCTCTGAAAGCCGGATTTTCGGCTTATTTCTCCTGCTAACTACCTAAGACAAATGGCACTTTGTGCTCTCAATTGAGTCTGTTGGAGACGACTATCGGCGCGGCCAATGTCCATTAGCGGGGTCAACGCCGGCGAGTTTGTTCGAATGCGGGTTGCGGCGGACGACGCTCCGCCGTTGCAGCCCCATACGTCGAGGCGGAACTTACACCAAGAAAGGCAACCTGCCTCATTCTTGTTTTTTCCTTCAACTTTCTTTGCTTTACGGAATAGCTAGACCAGAATGTCTCGCCACTGGCCTCGCTATCGCTTCTCATCACATACGGCGATTGACCAATTACTATAGTGGCTGTCAATAAACCTCTTCACCACTTACACGCTGAGATAACCGCGTAGTGGATCGACGGGATTCGCAACCGTAGATCGTGGGTGTCTGGCTCCCGGTAGTCCCGTCTGGAGCACCCACTATGTCCGTCCAAAGCATGCAACACGACGCAGAAACTTAGCTGTACCGGCCCCGTCGGCCCACCCGTCACCAGAGCTGAACTGAATCCTACATCTGTCTGCCCGTTCCTGCGGCCCTGCCCCTCCACATCGTCCCCTTCCTAGATATCCATCCCCTCGATTTGCGGAGCAGACTAGTCCATAGTCGATCCAGGGACCCAGGCTCCATGAGACATGGGCATATCCGCCCGTGTTCCCGAGACGCCATTGATGGAATTTCAGATGTCTCTACACGACAAGCCTCTCTTGAAGAGGGGCGTCATGGAAGACGTCGATCCGGCGAGGCGGTTCCGGATATTGACAACTCTATTGAAGCGGAGTCGGGCTCTGGAACCCTCGTGAATACAAATATGGGTGACCATCCCACCGGTTCGACACAAAAGAAACACCAGTCTATCTCTCCTTATAATCACCGCCCATCATCGACCGAATCTTCAAGATGAAGTCCGCAGTCGCTGGTGCGCTCGCCCTCGCGGCCGCCGTCTCAGCACAAGCACCCGTATATGGCCAATGCGGGGGCCAGGGCTGGACTGGGGCAACGACCTGCGTTTCCGGGTCAGTCTGCACGTACAGCAACCAGTGGTACTCGCAGTGCCTGCCCGGTATGTTTCTCTCCAATAACCTTTGCTACGAGAAACCAAAAGATTGACCAACATCACCAGGCTCCGCCGCGACGACGACTTCCCGGTCCAGCACCCTCGCGACCTCGACCCGCGCGGCAACCACCTCGTCCGTCGGCGCAACGTCCCGGACGTCCTCGGCCACGACCCCGCCCAGCACCGGCTTCCCCAAGGCCGTCGGCACCAAGTTCAGCATCGACGGCGTGGCGAAGTACTACCCCGGTACCAACTGCTACTGGTGCAGTTTCCTCACCAACGCGGCCGATGTGGACCTTGTCCTGGGTCATCTCAAGACCTCTGGTCTCCGGATCCTTCGTATTTGGGGTTTCAACGACGTCAACACGATTCCCCAGTATGATAACTGTATGAAGCATTCCCAAGCATTCTTAGGGTTTGTCTTGTAGGAAGCTAATGATTGAACAGGGTTCCAGTACCTGAGTGCGTCGGGTTCGCAAATCAATACTGGCGAGAACGGTCTCGGGCGCCTGGACACCGTCGTCGCTTCAGCTGAGAAGAACGGCATCAAGCTCATCATCAACTTTGTCAACAACTGGTAAGTTGCTCCCCCAAACACCTCTTCAAGGCACCTATCTGATGCAGTCCCAGGAACGACTATGGCGGAATCAACGCCTACGTCAACGCCTTCGGCGGCGACCACAACGGCTGGTACACCAACACGGCGGCCCAGACGCAGTATCTCAAGTACGTCCAGACCGTGGTCAACCGGTACAAGGCCTCGCCCTCCATCTTCGCGTGGGAGCTGGCCAACGAGCCCCGCTGCCAGGGCTGCGCGACCTCCGTCATCTACAACTGGGCAAAGTCCACGTCGGCCTACGTCAAGTCACTGGATCCTAACCACATGGTGACGCTCGGCGATGAGGGTATGGGTCTGCCTGGCGACACTTCGTACCCCTATCAGTATGGTGAGGGAACGGATTGGGTTGGTTTGCTGAACATTACTTCCTTGTATGTTGCCCCCCGTGAATATGGTCTCCGTGGTGGTGGCTGTGATGCTGATGTTTGATCTGTGTTTAGGGACTTTGGAACGTTCCACTTCTATCCTAACTCATGTTAGTCCACCTGCAATAATGAGGTATCATCGAAAGGTCACTGACGTGTTATAGGGAGCGTTGGATACGACACTGGCGCCAAGTGGGTAGCCGACCACGCAAAGGCCTGCGTTGCCGCAAACAAGCCCTGCTTCTTTGAAGAATGTAAGTCATAACCTAGATGCAGAAACTTCGTGAAGAAGCAAATGAGGTGAACTAAACTAATTCAAATCTTCAAATCACAGACGGCGCGCCATCCGACCACTGCACGATCGAGAGACCATGGCAGATCGCCTCGGTCGCCACCGCGGGCATGGCCGGCGACGCTTTCTGGCAGCTGGGAGATACCATTAGCACCGGACAGTCGCACAATGACGGTAACACCATTTACTACGGTACCGACGAGTGGACTTGCTTGGTCACCAACCACGTCGCCGAGACCAACTAGATGTGGCAGTTTGGTTCTTGTGGCAAGACATGGCGCTTGTCCTCTATAGCAGAGTTGCTGAGTTCTAGCTGGATCCGTAAATAGCCTTCAGTTCGTTGTATATATTGAGCGAAGAATCTGACAAGTTTGAAGTTTTTGCGAAGAGCGAAGCTGCCTACTTTATGAGAAGAATCCGTGCTTATATCTCAAGAATGAGATGCATTCTATTCAATAGGTTGTAATTATAAGCCATGGTACAAGTGCCTTTACATATCTTTGTGTCAAAAATACGAATAGAACAGCCACCAAACCCTCCCCAAGCTAGGAACCCCTCATAGACCTAAGCCTCTTTAATATTCGTCCTCAAAAGATCCTTCTCGACGATAACATCTTTCCACGAAAGCAACTCGGGGGCATCCCAATTCACCCACACCATCCGCCCATTCAGAAACGCCGCCTCCTCCGAAGCACTCCACACTACAAAGTCTCCCGCTAATTTCCCGTCCGTCATCTTTCGCTTCAGTCCAGACTTGACCAGCAAGGCCGTCTGCACTGCGCCAGGGTGAACAGAGATAACGCACGCCTCGGACGCCGGGGCATCGTCCGTAATAACCTGCGCCAGGCGCAGCATGGCAGCTTTACTCGCGCCGTAGCTGCTCATACCGGGGATATGAAAGTCATACGCGACCTTCGTGTTAATGTTGATTATAACCCCAGGCTTCTCGTCCTCCGCCCCAGTCTGCAAGCCTCTGCGACGGCGGAGGTACGTCTGCGTCATAAGCGCCGTTCTAAATACATTAGTCGTGAACCCCTGCCACCAATCCTTCAAATCCGCGTCGACGAAGCTCACTGGTGCGGAGAGGTACCCGGCAATATTAACAAGAACATCGGGGGAGCAGTCTAGGCTTGCAAAGAGGAATGCTACGTGGTCTGGGGAAGAGATGCTTCCCACGTGAAGGGAGATTTCTAGGTCGGGGAACTCTGCGCGGAGGGCGGCTGCTGTCTGGTGGAGGGTGGACTCGGTGCGGCCGGTGAGGATGAGTTTTGCGGCGTTGGCTTGGGCGAAGCTGCGGGCTGTGGATGCGCCTATGCCGGAGCCGCCTCCGGTTATGAGGATTGTTTTGTTGGTGAATTGGGTATGGAGGATGTTAGGGGAGATTTCGGGGTAGGGTTCGTAGTGTTCTGTCTTGATGAAGGATGCCATGGGGATGGGGTGGCTCTATGATGTGGCTTTCTTTCCTGCAAAGAAAAGAAATAGAACGATAATGTGTTTATGGCGATCTATTTTCGTGGAGTGTTTCTTGAAGAAAGCGCACTACTTGGCCTGCTGGGTAGAAGATATCGACTTCATACTTGACCAAAATCCTTTCAAGGAACGGAACGCAGGTATACTCGTCTCACTTGATGTTCACTTAAAGTTGTGGCTTACCAACACAGTAGCTACGTCCTCCAGCCTTTAGAGCAGCATACAATAGGATGCATCACTACAATGGGAATGCTAAGACGGCGTTTTCAGAAGCTCAAGACTGTAGCTCTCGGACTGTTGGAAAGTAAACTGCAACGTGGTTTTGAGTCGCACTCGCGATTCTGCATAGCAAGTGGCGTCGAGGTTGAGGAGGTCCGAAGGGAGGTCCATGTCTCTGCAGCTCTTGCATGTGTTGAGATGAGTTTACTTCAAACTCAAAAGGACTCGGGATGAAATCCAGGCCTTCGTGTTTAAGGATGTTTAAGGGGGATTCAACATGCCCCAGGCTAGGCTGTATCAAGTTCACAAAGCCTTTCATTGGCTGTTCATTCCTTAAGGCTCTAGACCAGCTGATATCCGACGGAAGTGAGCCATTGAAGAAGGGCTGGAAAGATTTGTCAACCTTAGTATCTTATCAAATTGACCCTCAAAGTTCTAGAATCTCAATGTCCGTGAAATCTGAAGGATCCAGCACCGGTTCACTTTGCCCGAATGAGTAAATCCCGTACATGACGCCACAGAAAGCACCTCCTACGGGAGGAAAGACAGTCAATGCCTCCGACTTGAATATCCTGGTCGTCGGAATCCCATCGACCGAGAGACTCATCTCATAGTCGGAGGACCTCGCCGTGATGGACAGCTTTACCGGCTGATCTAAATTAAGGGCGGGTATTGCAGAATCCAACAGGGGGTGTGCCACCTTTGAACATTAGAAAGAACGCCGAAAGCTATAAAGCGGCCTATAACGTACCTTGAGATTGTTGACCTTGCCCGTAGGCTCCCTCGTGATGATTGTCGGGACGGCGGGTCCTCCATCTTGTGGTTGAACTGCGCCAATGCCAATGGTGGCGTAGGAGTACTGACTCCACCATATGGTGATGCCAGATTCGTACCCTACCCGACTGGGTTTGAAAAGCATTGTAGCTTTGAAGGTCTCGCTATATGAAGTCTGCTTCCTCAAAATCATCGCCGGCGATTCGGGACTATTGAGATCAAAGCAGTTCCCGTAGAGCCTCAGGTAGCCGGGACGTTCTGTCAGGCTATGGCAGGGCTTGATAGGCGTATCTAGAAAGATGAAATCAGCTTCAGCTTTGAAGGCAGTGCTCGCGACCGCCCAACTCACTCTTGTGATACCAGCCAATTTCCAGGGATGATCTGGACAGGTCTGCCTTCCACTTGACTCCGTCAGCATCAGCGACGGCGGCCTTCTCAATCGCTTCCCTGCCGACGGTCTGGAGTGCGATATTGCGACCCTTATTGAAGACGGGCCAATCATCCACCCAGTCAACCTGCACCAGAAACGTCTCTCGACCCATCTGCGGCTCAAGATATTTATCCCCAGCCTTCACAGGCCTGACACCAAGTAGCACGGCCCACCAATTGTCATTGCCATCATGAAAGACATCGCAGTGGCCGGTCCTTTGCACCTCCTCCTCGGGCCCGTTATACCACAGAGCCTTACCCTGCCCCTCCCACGGCCCGTATGGCCCCGTCTGGCTTCTGAAAACCCACTCTTGGTGGCCGGCTTCTGTGCCGCCTTCGGCGGTAAAGAGGTAGTAGTACTCTCCTCGGCGGATGATGTGTGAACCTTCTGCGATTCCGTGTGGGGATTCACGGATCACTTGCGGCGGGGTGAGGGTCCTACCTGTAGAAATGTCGATTTCTGAAATGTGAATGGCAAAGTCTTTTAGTTTGAGGCCTGGGGTTCGTTTTCCCATGCGGACTGTTGTTGAGAGATAGACCTTTCCGTCGTCGTCCCAGAAGAGCTGGAATTGCGATCAGCTGTGCCCGTGTTTTGGTCGAATTGAGCACTCACATCTTGATCAAATCCGGGATTGTCAAAGTATACGGGATCTGACCAGGAGTTTTCATCCCAGATATTATCTGTCCAAACATAGAATCCCCTAGGGAAGATGCGCTCCTATGCATTCTCATAAGCAGTGCCTCGAAATTGTAGGCATGGTCTTTGCTCACATCATTCGTGGGTCGATATCTCTGAAAGAGCCCGTTGGCGAGATACCAGCGCTTCTCCTGAGGCCGATAGCGCAGCGTGCTCGCCCAACTTCCGCCGCCTGGCTCGACGGTTCTCAGCTCGACCTGGCTTCTGCGGGTGAGTGCGTGCCCGATGAGCTTCCAGTTGATGAGATCCGTCGAGGTGTATATAGCACAACCTGGGAAGTATTCAAAGGTGGAAGTAGATAGGAAATACGTCGTCGGGGTTGAGTCTGTTGCCGGAACTACGCAGATTGTTGGGTCCGGATTGAAGCCCGGGATTATGGGGTTGAGGAAGATTGGTCCATCTTCATGAGAGGTCATTTTGATGATCTCTGATGGTATGTCTAAGGTAGGATGGCAGTGCCAAGAATAGAATTGTAGTTGGTTGAAGAGTCCGTAAGTGTGTGACTTGAAAGCTTTCCAACCAACAGCTCGTTGGTCCTTGTTGGTCCTCGTTGGTTGTCGCCGGCGGTCGAGCTCGGCCTAAGTTTCTCCAGCAATCAAAGATCGCCCCCGGCCGGAGGATGCGATCTCCACTTTGCAGGTGGAGTCCATCGCCGCCGCTCGACACGGCCGAAGGTGCCGACGATACCAGTCCGCCGGCGTGATGCAGCATTCACAAATTGATATCAATAAGCATTCAAACCAGCCTTCCGAGCAGGGGCAGATATCTTTCCTTCTCCGTCTACGAATTGCATCTGAGTCACGAGATAGAACGGGACGGCCTGGACGAAGCTGTTTGCATTTCGTGGTCCCCGCCTTGCTTTGCACCTTGCATACAACCACACGAAACACAGCCTAACGCCAAGATCAAAGCCATCTGAAGCAGTATACACCGTTCACATCGTATCTTTTTGCGCAGTTCCAACAGTCGTCAACCACTTCGCCTTGCGAATACAGAAGAACTCCAATTTTGGCTTCCACAGCTCGACGCCATCCCCCTCCACGCCCTGCACGTCATCCATCGTCCCGGACGTGACGGCGATCCGTCCGGGATCCTTTTCGCTGATGACGAACAGCGAAGAGCCGCAGGCGCCGCAGAAAGAGCGCTCCAGCGAGTTGCCCGAGTTGGACGTCCCAGCCTTGTAGACCTTGATCTTCTTCTCCGGGTCTTCGACGGTGAGGTTCTATATTATTTGAATAATTGGTCAGTAGCCGATAGCTGGAATCTTGCAGGAGCGGGTATCTTATCGTACCTTTGTCTCTACTAAGCTGTTGGCGCCAAAGGACGAACCCGTGAATTTGCGGCAGCTGTTGCAGTGGCAGACAACTCCGAATCCGAATCCGCCGGCAACGGTGTACTTGACCGAGCCGCAGAGGCAGCCGCCGGTGATATTCGTTGGCGTCTGACCGGCCATGATTGTCATTGAGTTTCAAAGCAAATGTAATTGACTACAGGCGCTCGATGGCGAAAGAATAGACGCAAATGTCGTGATGCGGAACTCATTTCTATTATAGAAACTCATTTCTCTGTTTCTAGGGTGTAAAAACTGTCGAAAAAGCCAGGTTCATCTCGCATCTTCCATCCCGTCTCACCGCCGGGGATACTCCCACCCACAGACCGTGTCTTGTCCCGCAGGCAGCCTTTTCATGCAAGTAAGCGCCGCCAGCTGGTGTCGATCTCTCCAAAGGCCGACGCCTCACAGTAACGGAAACAAATCGTCAAATCGTACGTGACCTTCGTGAGACACAAAATGAGGGGGGAAAGTCGGCGCTGAATGCATCAAAATGCATCAATCCGAAAAGGGACAAAAGAGGCAGAGCAAACAATGTGTTGAGAGAATGTCAAAAGCGCCCTGTTGGTTCAGGTGCTCGTCCCCTCATCTTATCCCGTACTATCTCTCAATCGAGACATGGACCTATATCTCATTCAGCTCTCAGCCGTGGCTGAATTGAGGGCATGTCAGTGGTTCAAAGGCCGGATCTAGTGCTTCGCTCCCCTCTCACTTTTGCTTCATCTTCAACATGCTGAGCTGAGTATCATGAATCGGGTATCATGGCCTCTGAATCGTCAAAGCCGCCGACCGCCGCGAAGAGACGGGCGAGGCTCCAGAAATCGTGCACCGAGTGTCAAAGGCGGAAGCAGAAGGTGAGTTGACCAAAAGTCCAACACAGATCAACACCAAGTCACCCGCTATGTAACGGTTTTACATGCCCAGGAACGACCCGAACCTGATCATTTGAATCACATCGAGTTCATGCATGACTGAAAGAATGGACATGTCATAGTGCATAATACGACAGCCCGAGACGCAGTGCGTCAACTGCTCGAGGCGTTTCCCTCCTGTGGAGTGTACCATTGTCCAACTTGGGCCATGCCTCCCGAAACCCGTGTACGAGACACAGGTCCTCACCTTTGACCTGTCCTCGCTTCCCTCGAAATCAGGGAAGCAGGCAGAGGTAACCTCACACGGTCCATGTGCCACTTCGTTACCCGGTATCGCGTCTCTGGGCTTACCGGGTCGACTTCCCGTTCGAAATCGGTGCAGAGAACAGCTCAGGTCGAGGTGCCTTGCGACTCATGATCACGCAAGCCACGGGGGAGACTGCTGTAGGGGCCATCGAGAAGAGGAGAGGGCCGTATTGGAGAGCAAGACTCGCGCCAACCTCTTTCTCGATGGAGATGGGGACCCCCAGGCCTTCTTTCACAATGGCATAGCATCCATCGGTGGCATCCTTACGGAAGTTACGACCCTTCACGGCATGCCACTCCCGGAAGGTCCCAGAACGACGGAGCTTTTACATTTCTGTAAGATCGCCAGTATCACCACCCTTGGAGCATTGGTAGCTGATGAGACCGCCCACAGACGTCCAATTCGTCGCACCTAACATGGTATCGATTGACGGTCAGAGCCAGCCGCCCGTGTTCCTCAAAGAGGTCCTGCCGTGGATGCTGCAATCCCCTCTGTTTCCCAATATCGGCATCCTCATGTCCTCGATGACCCAGTCACTTGAGCGAGGGACGGAAGTGGCAAAGAGCCCCGAGTCGCTCGCCCTAAAGTCCTGGGTGCTGTCAATGATAGCGGACTACATGCGGCGACCGTTCGACGCTATCGCGGTTGAGATGGTCCGGTGCATTGTAAATCTTGTCGTCATGGAGGTGAGTGAAGCGTCTTGTCCCGGTGACAGCTTTGTGAACCATTCTCAACTGGAAGCTGATTGTCCTCTCAAAGTGGTTTTGGGGAGCCGACGAGAGCATGTTTGCTCATATGAGAGGCATCAAGCGCATGATTAAACTCCGTAAAGGCATGCGAGGGCTGAGAGATATAGTAGGCGAGTCGATCATAATTCTGTAAGTGAGTTCGTATCAAGTCATAAAAGGTTATGCTCATGCCATCCAAAAGGACTGACTATGAGATTGCGTGTGCCTTTGAGACGGATCTCTACTGGTTGGAAAATGATCCAGCCCGTGACGAGGAGATACCCGTCCCGACAACATGGCCAGACTGTTATGACAGCCCCTTACTGGCGCCCGCACCGCGGTTCGAGAGTATCGCAGAGAAGCTCGGCATCTGCGGCGCGACGGCCAATATTCTAGACGACGTGCGGTTCCTCACGGATTCCGTCACATCGGCATCGGCGATGGCGTCGGCGTCGAGGAAATCAAAGATTCGATCAACCGCATCGTGGCTATACGAAAAGCTGCGGGAACAAGGCACATCAACGGCAGCAACGAGACCCACACAAGTCGCCTCCTCCCCCTCCACCGAAAAGGAACGGATCCTCGAGACTGTCAGGATCGCCGCCGTGATTTACAGCTGGTCCATCAAGTCTCTGCGCCAGGTTTCGCGGTTCGACGACGCTGATATGCTCCAGGCAGCGTACGCCAGCCTGACGAGCGTGAGCATGACGACGTGGAAGGGGATCCCGGGGATCTTCCTCTGGGTGATGCTGGTGGCGGCCCCGAACGCTGCGGCGGATGCCAAGGGCAGATTCGTGAGGAGGAAGATGGCCGTGACGGGGCTATCGATCGGGTTCGAGGACTTTGCGCTGGGAATATCGTACCTCAAGGCGTTCTGGGGCGTGCAGCGGTGGATCGCCAGGGAAGGGGGCGGCGAGGGCGATGGCGATAGCGGCGCCGGGGTGCAGAGGCTGGAGGATAAGTGGTCTTTTGGGTCATGGCCGGAGGTGTCGGCATAGCTCACGATGGTCCCGAGAGTCACGAGAGCATTAAACACTCGCAGGCTTGCGCGTTGTGTTGTTCTGGCCCCGGGGTACTAGGTTGCGGACTTGCGGTACGGGATAGCCTACGGGATATCCGTACGGAGCCGAGCACGGGATAGGGGGAGGATGGGGGGAAGGAGGGGCAAGCTGATGCTGCGGCGTCACGAAGACATCATATGCTTGAATTGTCTGACATTTGAATGATGGGTTTGCTGACCGATCTTTGGGTTTTGCTTCTTCATTTTGTTGGGTTCCAGTTTGTTGGTGGCGCAGGCAGTGAGATACAACACACATGATCACAAAAGGCAAATAGTTTGATACTCGTTCTGAGCTTCTGCCACTCTGGTATCAGTGAGCAAAGGCATGGAGTAGGGGTGAGTAGGGACGAGGAGGGATCAAGGAGGGACGAGAAAGGGATGAGCAGCTCGGATTTCCTAAAGGAGCAATCCGGTGGACCGGGACCGCATGCGCAAAGCAACACTGCACTCCGCATTTCTCCCCCGGACGCAGCTGTCTCCCCACCGCTCGAAACTCTCTACCTTGCCGTATTAGTCTCTGTTTGGTTGACATGCGCAGTCCAAGTGTCTAGCGTGCGCAGTAGTGGCTATCTGGATGTGTACCGACGTGTAGGCTTCCGCCGCCCAGGTAAGGTTACTCAGGTATCTGTGAATGTTGGTCTGGACTCTGGAAACTCAGAGGCAGGGATGAGAATGGGGGTGGATATGAGTTCTGGACCCTACGTTGCAGTTCAGACCCAGTTTAGGTCCCTTGATTTTTTCTGCTCCATTCTCACGAAGCTTCACGATACAACTCTGAGTCTCTGACAGTCTGAGTGCTCAAGCAACAAACATCCGCAGTTCCGTCCCAATAGTGTGGCGGCTGTGGTCAGATATGAGTTTGGGAATGAGAAATGGAGCCAAGCCCCACGAAAGCCTTACCAGAGCCCTTTTCAGAAACATAGAGACTGGAGTTCAGACATGTCGGGGGTGTCTCGCAGCCCAACGGGTGGTAGTTGAATCTGCCATTTTCCGTTCCATGCCAGTGAAAACTTGAAAAAAGTGGTGAATCTTGATGTGGTTCTTTCGGTAAACCAACCGATTTTCCGCACCGCGGGCAGCCGGTTGAGTTTCCGCCGCGAGCGGAGGGGTCCAAAGGTGGAGTATTCCCGATTGCCCGCCCCCATGTTCCCATGCCCCCCATGTCTCTCTCCCAAGCAAAGACTAGACTCTCACGCTGGAGCGCGTCCAACTGCTTTCCCGGAGCTTTGAGAAGCAGTTTTGGAACCAGGGAACCGGGGGTAGTCCACGCAGAGACACAGAGACACGGGAACACGGGGGCAAGGCGGGGGCGTTCCAATCTCTATTCTGAAATCTGACATCCCGCATGACCTGTCTCGGACATCGCAGACCCATCTTTGAAGGTTCCAGCCCTCGATGAGAGAGAAGTCTGGAGCTCCATTGCTGCACATGCTGCCCATGGCATGCAACGAAACGTACCCGCCGGCGTGGACGAACAAACCTTAGATTTGCAGGTCCCGCAGAGACTCCAACGAGCAGCAAAAAAACAGCGGTGCGAGGGGTCTCCGTTTCTAAGAAAAGATGAGGCGAAGGGAGCTTCGAGCTTGATACCACGCACTAGGTAGACACACTGCAGTAGGTATCTGTTACCGGTAACTTGACGGCACACGAGCGAGCCCGACGTCTCGTCACCAGTCCATTTCCGGAACCGGCAGAGACGATACATACGACCTAGTATAGACAATCCTAGACAGCTCACCATAACGCAAGCTCCCCCTTCAGTCCAATCCCATCCCCTTGTTCCTTCGCCCGCCACGGCCGGCGCTAGCCCGTTGGTTGCTAAAACGGATGCTCATTGTTGCTCGGGATTGCTGATCTTGATCTTGCCATGGGGGTAATGGACCATGGGCCAAGGGTCATGGCATGATGGGAAGAACTTAGACGGTGAGGGGGTGTGAGAGGCGTGGGAAGTAATGGGACGAGACGTGGGTGCGGGGAAGCTCATCCCATTGGGAAAAGGGTGAAAGGTAGAGCTCGACGATGTATAAGAGGACGACTTCACGATGGTGTCCTAATCACTTAGTCTCTCTTCACTATCACACACACTTTTCATCATCACTCCTCTCGTCTTATAGACAATAAGCAAGCTCTATCAGAGTTCCATTGACTTTCAACTATCAACCCATTTGGTCCAACACACCCTCCCATCTCGGCCCGTCTTAGTCTTAACTAGCATCAACCACCTCCGTCATCAAACTACCTCTCACGGAACCAACCGCATCATCTAGATACCTGAAGAAGCCAACAAGAAGGCCTCTTCCCTCCCATTCTCCTATCCAGGAACCTCCACCAAAAACTCACAGCAGAAGAAAAATGTCTCCCGCAGCTCTCGTTGAAGCCGGCAGCAACATGTCACGGTACCTAACCCGCGTCCGGCCACTCCGTCTCATTGTACCTCATCTGACCCCAAGGAAACTTCCCAGACTCGCAGTACAGCCCGTCGAAGCCCCCGTCGTGGCACCCGCAAACCCCCTCGTCGCGCAGGAGAGGAGCTTCAACTCGACCCCCAAGTCCCTCGGCCTCGGCGCCACGACCCCCCAGGTCGCTCGCGGCCTCCCCGAGTTCAGCCTCCAGGGCAAGGTCATTGTCGTCTCCGGCGGCGCGCGCGGACTCGGCCTCACCCAGGCTGAGGCCCTCCTCGAAGCTGGCGCGATAGGTAAAGAATCAACTCTTCTAACAATCTTCAACTCTCTCTCCCTCCCTGTCTTTTCTTCAAGAGAGACGTATGCTCTATAGATGTGTCATTACACAAATGCAAAGCGCAAGACTAACATTGACCCCGTAGTCCACGCCATCGACCGCCTCCCTACCCCCGACCCCGACTTTGAAAAAGTCGCCCTCCGCGCCACCGCCGAGCTCGGCACCTCGCTCTCCTACCACCAGGTCGACGTCCGCGACGTCGCACAGCTCAACGACATTGTCGAGGGCATCGCCAACCAGCACGGCCGCATGGATGGCCTTATCGCCGCCGCGGGCATCCAGCAGGAGACCCCCGCGCTCGAGTACAAGGCCGAGGACGTCGATCGCATGATGGGCGTCAACGTCACTGGTTCCTTCATGACCGCCCAGGCCGTCGCGCGCCAGATGGTTCGCCTCGGCACCGGCGGCAGCATCGTCTTGATTGCCAGCATGAGCGGTACCGTTGCCAACAGGGGGTTGATCTGCCCGTAAGTCTTATTATACCAACAAACTTGATTTCCATCAAAACAGTATCAAAATGGCTGACACTGGTACTATAGCGCATACAACGCATCCAAGGCCGCCGTCCTGCAGCTCGGCCGTAACCTGGCCGCCGAATGGGGCGCCCACGGCATCCGCGTCAACACCATCTCACCCGGCTACATCGTCACCGCCATGGTCGAGGCGCTCTTCGTGGAGTACCCGGAGCGCAAGGTCGAGTGGCCCAAGCACAACATGCTCAACAGGCTCAGCCAGCCTAGCGAGTACCGCGGCGCCGCCGTGTTCCTGCTCAGCGACGCCAGCAGCTTCATGACGGGCAGCGACCTGCGCATCGACGGCGGACACTGTGCCTGGTAAACACCTCGGGGCTGACTGGACAAAGAAAAAGCGGGTTTAATGATTGATTTTGAGTCTTTTGATGATTAGTCGTTAATTATTTCCAAAGACTATGGAGGAGTTTGGGAGCTTTTGCGGTTTTCGTAGAGCAGTATACCTATAATTACATTTTTTATACACCTTCAACAACTTTCAACAAACACTCTCTCTGTGCGTGAAAGCCAAGTCAAGCAGGCGACGTGATCCCAATCCGACCCAACCTCGCAACAACCCCAGCCTTCAAATCTAACCTCGCCTCAATCTCAGCGGGCGAGTGTCCCCTCTCGCGCATGAGGTGCATCTGGATAATCGTCTTCAAATCCAGAAACTCTCTGCCGCCGCTGCTACTGCGTCCGAGCCCGTCAAACTCAGCATCGGCTTCCTGCTGCAGCCGACGCCTGGCTTCGAGGGTGCCGAGCGTCGCGTTGCGGGATGTGGAAGGGAATAAGGGGCCCGGGTTCTGGATCAAGTCTGCGTGAGGACTTGGGCCGGGGCGGCTGCCTGCGACGGGACCGGGGCCGGCGCTGGCTGTTGATGTGGAGGAGAAGGTTGGGTTCGGCTGGACGATGCCCATTTGGCGGAGGCGCGAGGAGAATTCGGCGGTGACTTCGGGATTTGTGGTGGTTGTGGCGGACGTGAGATCTGGGTGGTGGCGGTCAGCTTTGGATTCTTGAATGAAATACAAGTCCGCTATCTAGAGAATAAGACGAACCCTCTGGTTTGAGTGTCGCCGTCTTCGCCCGCGACTGAGCCTGCGCGGGCTGCGTCGGAGGGGCAGCGGGAGCTGCTCTCGCGGCGGTTGACGGTGGTGGTACAGCGCCCGGAGCGCGGGTCGGGAATTTGCGCGCGGCGCCTTGCGCGGCTTTTGAAGAGGATGATCCCATTGTGCCGAAGCTGGTGCCTATAGTGGTGTGGGCGAAGATCGAGGGGAGAGAGTCAACGAAGGGGAGCAGAATGATGTGGGAGAATTGGTGGGAAAGAGAGAAATGCGACCGAGGAAGCTCGAGATTCTTTGCGGCAAACGGTAGATAACTTATCGATAAGGATGACAGGGACCATGACGCATCCATTTCTGGGGTACGTATCGTAAGATGAGTTTCGTCGTGTCTGGTTGGTCAATTCACCGGTTTCCTACCGAGCTCTCGGTGTGCTTTTCGGTGTGCTTTTGAGGAAGACGTCAAGATATGATCTTTGGTCCCTCCTGTTCAAAGAGCTTCGAGAACCAATATAAGCTGACTCATCATATCTTAATTCCATCAACTACCTTCTTCTCTGATAAGTCCCAGCATGTTCATTGCAATGCGTGAGGTTCCTTCAGCTCTGACGAAGCGACAGCCGTGGTATTCTTCTCCGTGGCGACAGGGCTTACACCTTCGGTAGCAATGTAAAGATCCATAACCTTGGGTCCAGGATAATGATGGACCGCGTGGACCGCCCACCATAGTCCCGTGATTGCCACAGTTCCCACCAGAATGACTGCACTCCAGTTCATCGTCGCTACCGTTGTGGGCAACACGAATGCTGATGTACTCGTTAAGGCTTGGCCAAAGTTATGGAACGAACAAGGACTTACGGAAACAAAACATGATATCAAACAACACAATGAATAGCACGGCCAGTCCGTTGATGATGTATCCCGCCTTTCCCAGATGGAAGGGTCCACGAGGGAAGTACTTTCGCCCCGAGAGCATGTTCGCTGCGAATGGGATGGCGTATGAGACGGATGTCAGAATGATGAACGAGCTTGCCAGTGCTAGGAAGGCTGCTGAGCTTCCGAGGGGTATGGCGCCCAGTCCGGTTGCGACGACGCCTGGATGATCCATGTCAGTCTCCAAAGTCTTGAGGTTGAAAAAGGACGAGAACGCGGTGACGTACAGACAAACAAGGTTGACCAAACTGGACAGCTCAGGCGCTCATTAACCTGAGCGAAGAAATTGGATAGTGGCACAGCATTATCGCGTGCGAGCGCCCAGTAGGTTCTCGAAACCTGAGAACAATATCAGCGACTGGAACTTCACAAGCTCAAGTGGATGGTGATCTCACCGTCAAAGTCAGGCCTACGCAACACGTCAGCGTACAACCCAGCATGATGAATAGCAGACCAAACGCTGCGCCTGGGTTCCGGATTCCATTGCTGCTGGTAGTGGCTTGCACGTAAATGTTGGTCAGCGGGAAAGAGTTGAAGCCTCCTTGGAGAGCCGTAATGTCCGTGATTGCGTACGACAATGCGACGGCGAAGCAGAAGGCATCTATCAATGGTCAGTTGTGGGCTCGACATATTGGCAGATTGTTGACTAACAAACGAAGCCCAGGGATATCTGCAAAAGGATAGCCTTTGGGAGATCCTTTTTGGGATGTGGCATCTCTTCAGCCATGTGGGTTACCGAGTCAGGAGTCCCAATCGTGAAGGCGCCGTTAAGAACACCCAGGAGAAAAGCAACGCCCCCTGACCACCCTGTGGTATTATTCTCGTCGAAAGAGCCCCATACAAAGTGATTACTCGCATGTTGCTTCGGCATCGCCGCCAGAACGACAATGGTGACGACGCCGCCGATCAATACGAATATCGTTCCGGCTTGCTGGGTGTACGGAGCATACTTGTTGGCAAAAACAATGAAGGCCGCGCACCCCCAGAGGATGATGAGGTACCCGATGAAGACGTGGAAGGGCTGGCTGACGTAGGTGTCCCAGTTCCAGACGGCGTACATGCTCACGGCCACATTGCTCGAGATCTGCAGCAGGGCTGCGAGCGAGAAGAGCCAGCCGTAGAAGTTGATCCACCCGGTGAAGAAACCGAGGACTCGGCCCCAGCGAGGACCGCCGGCGATGGTGGCCCAGTGGTAGACGCCGCCCGCCGTGGGGACTGCTGAAGCGAGCTTGGAGAAAGGTGTCACTCGTTGATATTCACATTGCTTTGCAAACGAGAGGAGGGATAAAGAGACTGGGATTAGTAAGACAAACCTCTGATAAACTCAAGCCGATGAGGGAGTAGTAAAAGACGGCGACGAGGAGGCCGTAAATGATGCCGGGTGGGCCACCGTTGACTAGATTGATCCCGGCTCGTTACAACGTCCGGCTTGCAAGCAACAAGCGTCCAGCAGAACTTACGAATTGACACAGAAATGGACGATCCCAAGGCAACCCAGGCGTTGTCCACCGTCAGAGCCATGCTTGCCAGTCCAAAGAAACCATATTGGCGATTTAATTGATCCTTGTAGCCCGCGGCATTCAAGCGGACTCCATCTTGTACGGCGACCACGGTCTCGTCATCGGACGTAGAAGCCGACTCGGCAACTCTATCCCGTGCAAGAAATGCCTTCATTGCAGATGTTTACAACCAGAGGAATTGACTGCCTGTAGCCAGCCGGTGCAAAAAGGCGTGGAATTGGTGATATCGAAACGCGAATACCACTAAAACAGCGGGAGCGCTGGAAATGCTGGAATCGAAAGGGCGAAAGAGGAGGAAGATCGAATTCGAAACGGAAAGCAAGACAGTAACAGTCCGACGCAAGACGTCTGTGAAATGCGACACAACGGACGAGATATGTAGGAAATCGAGGAGGCAGACGATAAGACGGTCTTGGTGGGTGACATTGTGCTTCTAATACGCCATGTCTTGGGACGGAAGAGCTGCAACTGGACCGTCTCTCGCCCAAGTGGCTAGGAATATCAGATAACACTTGTGCGACGGCCATAGGTACAGATTTGGCGTCGCATTCAACAACCGACTTGTCAGCCTGCACAAGCGCCGGTTCTGCATATCAGAAAAGGGATGCCTCGGAGGGCTAGACATGTTCCATTGAGCTAGGCATGCTGCGAAACACCCTGCCCAGGGTCTTGGCTACCAGAAGAAACGCGCTGGTACCCTCTTTCTGAGGATTCCAACCTCTCTAAAGTACTCCGTAGAGCCATTGTACGCTACGCGATACGTGGGACGAGCCGTCCGATCTCTTACTCACGACGTTGTAAGATCTTCCTTGGTCCACTTGGAGAAGCGAGCGGATCATAAGGCATATCGTGTGGTCTGGGGAGATGGAGGGGAAGATAAGTCGAAAAAGGGAGGCCGAATATTGACAAATCGCGGCACACAACGTTTGGTGGTTGGGTAAAACGGATACGTGCGGGAACGCTTGAGCAGAAGTAAGCTTTCTCAGGGGCGATGCCGAGTGGCTTAAGCCCCTATGGCTCGGCCCAGATCATAGATGGAGCCCCCCTTGGATGCTGGCGATCTCAGTGGGAACGGCAGCCAACCCCATGGCTCGTCCACGTGTGGCTGGCCAGGGAAACCAGCCGAGGCGCATGGTTTAGGGAGTACGGATACTGATAGATGAGATGCTCATCGAAAACGTCCCTCTGCTTCATGCCAAACTTGGTGTCGTAAAGTTCGCGACGAGACCCGTGCTCTGGGAGTCGGTCTTGGATGGCCATTGAAGAATTGATCGAATTGATCTTCCACCGGCAGATGGGTCAGCGGCCGATGTGACGATGACTGCTTCTACCAAGTGTAGCCGAGACGGCCTATTCCGCTATTGGACTTCGTATATGATTGGGGCCCTTGTCTGAAGCAAGGAGGCTGGAGCTGGTGAAAGTCGAGATGCGTGTCTCGCTGCTGCCGCCTGGATGGAAGAGGTACGGGGAGTGAGAGAGAGAGATGGACCCAGACCTGGTGGCCTGCTAGTTTTCGCCCGATGGCCGACCTCGACCTTTCGGGTCATTTCATTGGCATGTCTTGGCAAGGTGATGGGTGGTAGTAGAGTTCCAAGTGCTGACCACTTGTTGAATAATTGCTTGGATCCGCGCAACGGCGATTAGAAAGACCTGAGAAGTCTTACCAAAGGGCGAGGACCAGGAAGTAATCAAGCATGAACCGAATTAGTATCAGCGGAAGGGTATTTGCATCTTCTTATCGAATCAGAGCGGTCTCGTCGACGATAATAAGAAAGCCTGATGAAAAGGAATATGGGAATGGAAGAATTGGAGCATTCAAGAACCATAGAATGAGATACTTAGGTACAGTACACCCCGCTAGAAGCATCCCCGCAGTGCGGCAGCTTAGGTAGCGCCGAAGACCCGTTATTTGTTTACATAGGTACCTGCCGCTTATCGCCTAGCTACCTACAAGTAAGGTAGGTACCTTGCGTCCCCTTTTGGATAAACCAGCGAGAAAGGGCCAGAAGCTTAACAGCGCGCCAAGTGGGTCCAACCGTTGCACGCAGGAAGGAGCACAGGAAAGTAGGAAGGAACATTCATTCACTTGCAAATCTTCATGGGCTTTTCATCAATTCAGTGTTTTTGCATCCGATTGCCATCCTCACATGCTTCATCAGCCTCCGTAACATAGTTGGTCTTTTTGTGACCTCAAAGCCTCTCAATCTTGATTTCACAACCGTGTCTGCTACGACTCTTCCTTGCTTCCACGTTGCGCCGCCTCGCTGACGTCGGATTGATTGGTCGGCACCTCTCCCCAAAGCTTCGTCAAACTTTGTAAAGTTCGACAGGTGGACCTTGCTGCAAACTTAATGGCTATCAAAGGGGAAGCTACAGGGCTCGCCGAGCATCTCAGTTCTATCTCCAAGTGGGCCAGCGCAAAACCACGAACTCCTCATACGTGGAAGTGCCACCTTGCTTACTTTTGCCGTTGAGCTTCTTATATTACGTTGACTGACAAACTGCCCAAGCGAGTTGAATAAATGCTTACCAACCTTGATGTAATTTACAGTCACTTTAATGAAGACCTCAGTGACGAAGTCCCGCAATCTGAGTAGCCCAAGACTCCAATGCAACACTGAAGAATGAGTCGATATTCATCCAATTTCCGATCAAAGCTTGTGTGTCTGGCCATTGCCGATGTCGACATCCGGAACCTGCTTGTCACCTCAAACGCCCAGACAATGCTTTCATAACTGCCGGTTCTATCGTCCAGGGACGGTGCCGGATGGGTTCGGGCCACCCAAGGTCATCCCTTCTAATTAAGGGTCCTGTCCCAGGCACCATGTGGCGTTCAACATCTCTCCTCACGACGAGAATGCAAGCATTTATATGAGTAAATGACCACTAGCAGCTCTTTCGAGCAGTGTCCACCTGGATTTCGAGGAGAGCGGAGTCTAGTCGCCTACTTGACCCATGTTCATCGTCATCTAAAGATGATACTTAGGAGGTGGTCATCCGTCTTAGTAGCTGAAAATGCCCAGAGTCTTATTTCCGTCATTGCTTTCACCACTTTCGTTCCTAACTTTCTGCAACTTGCCGTGACGCCCGTGGCGTCCAACGCAGCTTACAATGAGAAGCTTCAAGCACGTAGCAGTAGCTCTGGCCTTCCTTCTGTGCATGATTTCTCAAGCAGAAAGCTCACCGAAGCCAGCGAGACAATGTCCGCCTCTGAAGAAGGGCAGCTTTGTCGTTCAACAGTACCAACTCTATCCCGAGAATGCGGACTGGGACGTCAACAACTGCATCGTCTACTTTGGGTAAGCTTATATGTACAAGCCCAGACATGAATCATGGTGCTAAGGCAGAGGCAAGATCACTGTTCAACGCTAGCGTTGTAGTTTATGATCCGTACAAGGACACCGTCCTAGACATCTTGACGTTCGATGGCATCACGCACAACCCTGCCTTGCACATTGGTGGCGTGCAGGTAGACACTCGCACCAAACTAGTCTCGATTGTAGTCGACGCCGCCGCCCCCTTCAATACCGGCGGCAAAGACGTGTCGGGTGACAACTTCATCATCAAGTACGACCCGGCAAAGAAGCAGGTCCTATGGAACAAGAACATCACAGCTGTGACCAAAGGGGCATACGGAGGCTTCCAGGACATTGAGCACGACACCCACGGAAACACCTACGTCGTTGGCTCGTTCCCGGGTACAATCATGAAAGTCGACCGCCAAGGCTCTGCTGTCGTCCCGTGGTACCTCCCCGTGAAGATTGACCACACGAAAATGGGCTTCTCCGGCCTCGCAGCCACTGGCAATATCCTGCTGTCCAACAATAACGAGGACGCCCAGATCTACCGGTTCGACATGAAAGCGGACAAGGGCGCTCCCGTGCTCGTACCGAGATCGCCGAATGTGACGCTAGCGGGCACCGATGCCATCTATCTTCCACCAAGGTACGGTGGAAAGGTGTTGCTTATCGCCGAGAATACCAAAGGCGTGACTGTTTTGCGGTCGAAAGATGGATCCTGGAAGTCTGCCGAGCACCTTGGCACGGTACCGAATAATTCCACCGATGCTCAAGGAGGGATTGTCACTGCTCCGGTGCAAGTCGGCGACAGTCTGTTCATGGTTGAGGAGTTCTTTGCGGATGCTCCTGTTGCGGGCTCGACTTCTGGGAACAGGACTAGTTTCCCGATGGTGGACATCACCTCGCAGGTTGAGGATCTTCTCAAGAAGTGAGTGATTCGCGGTTTGGAATAGTAATTATAATGAATACACTCTTCTTCAACGAAGGAACTTCTGGAACTTCATCGCCATCTTCAGGCTGCAGATTAGATCCACTGATTCGATTAGGTGTTAATCGAGACCACTTTTCGGCACCCTTTGAATTGACTAGCCCCCGGTCAATAGTCTGACATGCATAAGTCTGCAGGCATCCACAATCGCGCATCAACAGTCAAGTGCCTATTGGATATGCGGATTCAATCTAGTCCACATCCCTCGCCGATGGTAAGGCTACGATGTCAACCCAATAGCTCGTTATCACGGCCAATGTTTGCCGAGTTCGCTCTCAGGGCCCTTCCAATACTATGATGCCTTGATAACGAGATGTCTTCGCCAATCATGCCCTCACCATCACCAGGGTCTCACTCATGCGAGTGGTGTCGCAGGCTCCTCGTCATCCACGGCGAAGCCGATATCCCGCATCGGAATCGGGGCGACAGACACGACGCCAGGTGGAACAAGATCGTATTCGACACCAGTCTCACAGATCTTCTCACAGCCCAGCAGAAAACATGTGCCTTTATAGACTGGATACTCGACGGGGAGTGCATCGCACGACCAGACGTTGGCGAATGCGTCGACAACATATCCGGCGAGGTCTACCAGATGGACCTCGAAGAGCTCGAGCAGTTCCACGGCCAGATTGACAAGGACCCGGACTACAGGCTTCCTTCCATTCGCCACGCCGTCCAGGGCCGCAGCGACGGGTACGTCGACTATGTACTCGTAGCTGAGACGAACCCCCCATTCCGTATTGGTGGTGACCACACTCCAGACGTCCTGACTATAGAATTCTTTGGGCTTTGGGACCCGCGCACAAAGCTCGTCTCATATAGGACGGTCAAGGGTCTGCAGATATGTACGCCTCATGATAACCCGGCAGCCAGAGACTTCTGGACGCGGCCGATACAGAATGATCCTGCGTGTTGTCTGCCTGCAGTGAAGTCATGGCTGGCAGATTGCGAGGATAAGCACGAAAGGTGTCAGGAGCTGAAGACGCAGTCTGGGCCGTCGGCACTCAGGCCTATTAGGCTGATCTATATTGATCACAGTTCTAGAGCACGGAGCTATTCGCTGCGGTTGCAAGATACGGCGAATCTAAATCCTCTACCTAGATTCGCAGCTTTGAGCTATTGCTGGGGCGGCAACCAGACGGTGAAATGCGAGACGGCTACGCTAGAGGCATTCACAAAGGATATTTCCTTTGAAAAACTGCCTCGGACGATACAGGACGCTGTCAAAGTCTGCTCGCAGCTCGGAGTTGAGTATGTCTGGGTCGATGCTCTCTGCATCATTCAAGATGAAGGCAACGACGAAAAGATTTTGGAAATCGCCAAGATGCCGTACATCTACGGTCAAGCGTCCTTCACCATTATGGCATCCAGAGCCAAGACTGCGTGGGAAGGGTTTCTCCAGAACAGAGAGTGTTTCAAAGAGTCTGATCAAGCATTTCTTCTCTCCTGGCAGTCCGGAAAGGGCGAATTGGGATCGATTACCTTGGTCGAGATGGAGACAGGGCACGAACCTATTGACGAGCGGGGGTGGACTTTTCAAGAACGTCTTTTATCTGTCAGGATCGTCGAGTTCGGGTCCCGGCAAACTAGATGGAGCTGTCAAGAACCAATTCCGTCAATCACCGGGAACGACACGCTATACGGCCTCGACGTCGGTGAGGGTGCAACCGACGGCTGGAGAAAGATTGCAGAGCCCAATGACCTCAGGCAGGACTCCTTCAACTGGGGCTCCTGCTCAAAGACTCCATCCCCGTGGGGCGCACTGGTAGATATCTACACCAGCCGTACTCTGTCCTTCAACACTGATCGCGCTCTGGCCATGTCGGGGGTCGCGGAGCGCTTTGCTGTGTTGACTGGCGATGAATACGCCGCTGGTCTCTGGAAAAGGAGCATCCGCGACGAGTTGCTCTGGAGAGTGGAGCAAGATGAGCGACGAAATCGGGCGGCGGCCCATCAGGGGCCTTCGTGGTCGTGGTTCGCAGTTAATAGTAGTGTGAGAGCATACGTGGCTTTGGGTGACGGTTGGGAAATCCCTACATTCGAAGGCGATGTAACGGATGCGACGGAGGTCTACCACGCCGAAGTCATATCTATTTCTGCCGAGCCGGTGAACAAGAAAGCGCCCTACGGCGACGTCCGTGGCGACTCAGGTCGGCTTAGACTTCATGGGAGGCTTGCGGCAGCCACCATCATCAATCATCCCACAGGAGACTCAAGGGACGATCCAGAAAATGTCTTTGATATAGCCAGTCCCCCGAGCTCACAAGGTGTTCTTGACTCAGGGACGAAGCTCATGAGTACCAGAAACATCAGCTGTCATCTTGATTGCCTAGATGAGGTAGACGTCAAGTCTGCAGGCTCCGGGGGTTACAGGGCACTGGAGATCAAGAGAGTGCGCGGGTACTCTGCCGACTGGACGATACTCGGACTGCTTCTAAAGCCGGTCAAGATGAATGGGGGAAGTTCGTTGAATGGTGTGCCAGCTTACAAAAGAATTGGCACGTTTGAGTTGGAGTTGGAGACTACATTTGATGACTTGGATGACGATCAGAGCCTTCAGAGCGAGGAGCATTGCTTCTTCGACTTCATCCAACCACAAATGATAGAGATATTTTGATAGACACGGTGAAGATTCAACTATTCTTCATTCTAGTTTGCAGAACCCGAGTACATGTAAAGTTCGGGGACTGTTGGCTCACAAAAGGGTTCAAGTCATCTTTCCTTACTTTTATCACATCCCCATCCTTTCTCTTGGTGACTTTCTGCATGCTGGGATACATATGGAGTCTTACTACATGCACAGGGAGAGTCGAAACAATGAGAACAAAGACAAATGTACGGTAAGCTGCCGTCTAATTTGTTCTGTCACTTCTCCCATATACTACTTGCTACATCTTTATTCGCCTTTCTATTTGGGAGCTACTCGTCATCCTCTGTATCGAGTCTCAACCAGAATCCCATAGTCTTCTCAAGTCTCATCTTGACTTGACTTGTAGCATCGACGTGTCGCAGCAGGACTTGATCACCGCGAGCACAACACTTTGCTCTTTTGCGCAAGTCGTCTAAGGAATCGAGGTCTTAAAAACTTCATGGCCTCATGCTCCCTTGATAAGCAAGCTGGGGTCATACACCATAGCCACGGCAACCCAATAGGAATGCACCAGCCAGACGATGTTCGTCCTTGTTCGGAGCAAGACTCTTTCACAGTGTCCAAGACTCCTCTCGAAGTCAGGCTCGGTGCCTCGATATCTCACGGGCCTAGAATACAGGCCTTGAACGGCGGCTAAGCAGTCGTGCCTTTAAGCTATATCCTTCCCATAATCCATCTCGCTTTTACTTTCCGCATCTCTTCCACATGTTCATCCCTCTCTTACCTCCCGCTTTCTTATCATATTTCACCTTGGACAAGTAAGTTATCGACATGTAATCAAACGTTAACCGAAATACAAGATGACAGAGCCTCCAAGAAATGGAAGCTAACGAGCAGTAGAATTACAGAAACGAAAATATTCGCGTTACTCGAAGTAACTGGAGTCATTTTCTGCCCGCCATAGGCATACCGATGGAGCAAAACGAAAAGCTGAAGACCCTGACCCTGGCTAAGATTTTGGAAAGGCTCAACCTAAAGGACACAAGACACCCAGGTGAAGATGAAATCCAGAATCAAGGGGATCAGATACGTGGAAATCCTACGACTGTAAGGCATTGGATCGAGACATCGGTAAGAAACGGCATGAATGACAGTGCTCCTCTCGCATTCATGGGCCCATTTGGCGGTGACGGCGCTGCTCCTGCGAGCATTCCTGCTGGGAGAGCTCCAAGTAGCCAGGCGCCGATACCTCCCCGTCCCAGCCTGAGACCTTCTTCACCTTCACAACTCCGCCCCGGTACGTTTCCCATACTCCTTGGCCGGGTCGAATTCTCGCTGATCAAACTTAGCGAGCCCAGCGGTCTCATGCCCCAACATCCAATCTACAACTTCATCTCATCAGACGATACCGCCATCCCTTCTGCGACATTCTTTTCGTGAGTCTCATCCCATTAGCCAAAACCATTTATCTGATGCACTTCTCATTGAATCAACATAGCAAAATCCATTACTTCAAGTCCCGTCGGCCCGATCGGGGTCCCCCAGCACTCGGTGATGAATTTCTCATCTCCGCAGCACTCGTCGCGTACGTCTCACCTCCATGCTTATGAACTTGCCCGCTTCTCCGCTAATCAATCGCAGCGAATGTGACGACATTCAGCCCCAGTGGCCGTCCGGTGCAGAACCCGATGGTGGCAGCGCTTTCGTCCGGGCAGCAAGCCCCTTTGAAGGCGCGACTCCGTGAGATTCGTCCCATCCTAGCTAATCATCTCTTACTTGTCTTTTCATATCACTAATTACTATCTCGAGAACAGAAATGGACAAGAACCGAAGAGCCTCAGTCGTTAAGATGACCAGCCGGGAGAAGCTTCTGAAGTCGAGCAGCCCCCTGATCCCCTCTGCCCTCCGAAGTGTCAAATTCCCACCTCCGTCGCTCGAGAGCACCACCGACGAGTCGAGCAGCGATGAGCTCATCATTACAAACCGCGGCCATTCGAGCAGCCAAGTTCATCAGACTCAGAGCAGCATGAGAATGAATATCGATTCCTCGTTCAGCCACCTGGCTCCTCCCATGTCTCCGAACGAACTCTTCAACGCATTCTCATCCATGAACACATTCGCAGCCAACAACCCGCCTCCTTCCTTGCCCCCGAACGACCTGCTCGCGAACCCGGGCCCGGCTTGGAACTTGGACCTGCTCCAGAGCCCTCAACTCGGGCACATCCTGCCACCTCCAGCGGAGATCGCAGTCAGAGTCGGCAACGCGCGCACCCTCGCTCACAACGGCTACCGCGGCCCCTTCGATATCGGCCGCCTCACCTGCCTCATTGATCCGTACACTGGCGAGCCCAACCCTATCGCCGAGACACGCCCCGATGCCCACGGCAACATGGTCACGTACGACATCCACACCAACGAAGCCATTCTCGACGTCGAGCCCTGCGAGACTGGCACCGCCCAGTGGGGCAGGAAGGGCGAGTTCACTGGCTTTGTAGAGTCGAGCGCCGCTTCGTGGGTGCTTGGTCCCGGATAGAACCCGGCCATGCCCCCGCCTCAGGTCGAGGAAACAAAGGATCCGCGCTTCAATCCGAATGCAAAGGATGCCTGGATGGGCGCTAGGCTTGGCGAAGGCAATCAATCTGTCATGGCTCATGACTATGATGTCCCGGCTGCGATACCTAATACGGGTCCGACGCCGTCTTGGGTCAAGGAAGCCAATGACATTCTTGGTATTCCGAACCAGGATGACGAGGATCAGCCGGGTCTCTTCGAATATTGCGATTTAAATTTTGACGAATGATTATTAATCGTCAATACTTGGGTCATAGGAGTTTGGATGGAACTCTTCCTCACTTGGAGAACAAGGTTTACTTTGGGAACTGGCTATGAGGTTCAGATCTGAATAGCCATCAGAATCGCGACGAAGCGTTTATGAGTACATGTACTTATTAGGAAAAGTATCCTCCCCTTGTATTACTTTATACGGGACATCTTGCATGCAAAGCGTGAACAAACTCGTGGTCCCGCGTTGAAGCGATCCATCCCCAAGACTGATGCCTTCTACATCAATCTTTAATCAGTCAGAGTGTGCTCAACACACATCTGAAGCCTCAGCCGGAGGTCAAGATTGCTTTCCTTAACCTCAACAATCACCTTCCAGGAGGCGGCATAGGCTTGGTTCCGTTCTGAGGGGTAGACGTCCCATTAGCAGGAGGAGACATTCCTCCGCCTCCGTGGCCACCACCACCTCCACCACCTCCGGGAGGCTTGTCGCCTCCCCCTCCGGGGGGCTTGTCACCGCCGCCGCCAGGAGGCTTATCACCCATGCCCTCTCCACGCCCACACCCACTCATGTAGAGCGTAATCTCACCACAGTTGACGCCCTGGTCGTTCTTCTTGTACAGGTTGTACGTCTGGTTCTCGGCCTCGCACTGGAAGTACCGCGTCTGCTCCTGGAACGTCATCTTGCCGTCGCAGCCTACGCTCCAACCCTTGTCGGGCTTCTGTCCCGGGTCGCACTGGAGTGTCTCGGTAGGGGCTGTTCACATATGTTAGTCCATCTGTTTTATTGGAAGTGGAGGGTAGAATGGTTCAAAACTTACGAGTCCACCACATGCCGCGTCGGCGGGTATCGACAATCTCGCCCTTTTCCATGCGGAGGATGACGGGCTCGAGGCCGATTCTCAGCTGGCCGCTTTCCAGTTGGCCGACCCAGCCCGAGACGGAGCCCTTGGCTCGCATGCGGAACGAGTTGCATTCCGTCATGCCGCCGCCGCCTTTTCCTCCTCCTCCACCACCTCCACCGCCGCCAGGCTTGTCACCGCCCGGCTTGTCGCCCCCGCCTCCACCACCTCCATGACCGCCTCCGTTGCCTCCTTTGCAGTCATCTCCTCCCTTTCCTCCACCACCACCGCCCCCGCCGCCGCCTCCACCGGGCATACCAGGCATGCCGGGAGGCTTGTCACCACCTCCACCGGGCATACCGGGAGGCATACCAGGCGGCTGCTTGCCTCCGTGACCGCCCTTGCAGTCATCTCCACCCTTACCACCACCTCCACCACCGTTTCCGCCGCCTTCACCAGGCTTGCCTCCGCCCTCGCCGCCGCCTCCGTGACCTCCACCTCCACCTCCACCACCGCCGCCGCCGCCGCCGCCGGGCATACCGGGCGGCTTATCACCGCCCTTACACTCTCCACCGCCGCGACCGCCGCCTCCTCCTCCACCTCCGGGGTTATGTTCCGAATCCATGGTGTTGTTAGTCTCCCTGGGCACGAGGGCTAGAGCGAGAGAGCTCGTGGCCAGGGATACAACTGTAACTAAAGAAAGACGCATCTTCTTCCTCTTGGTCCTCCTATGCTGTACTTTGATGTGTGTTGCTCCGTTCACGTCTGCTAGAGACTAGGAGTTGATGATGGTTTTACTAGGAATGACGACAACCCGTAATCTAGGGCTCCGAGGTAAAAACAAAAAGTAACAACCTCGTGATGATGGCCCGTGTTCAGGGGGAGAAAAAGGATGATGTGCTGGGTAAGGTTTACAAAAAAGAAGAAGCCTTTTGATCCTTCTTCCAGCACAACTAGAAGCGAATGCTGGATGGTGGTGTTCGTATAAAGAAAGGGGTGAGGAGGTAAGGAGATTAACACTCTAGCGGGAGGAAGACTTTCATCTTTTTATGCTTTTGGAAATCACCCTGAAGTTTGAGTATTTGCCGAAGTTCCCTCGTTCTTGTCTCGATCTACGAAAGGGAAAGGCGAGGCGGGGTTCAAACATCTGTACACACACCCACCCTCGCATACAATACTGGCGAACACGAAACAGTCTTTTTTGGCTTGACTAGTTACCCGAGAGCAGAAAATCCGAGTAAGGAAGGCACACACACCGTTGGGCGAGAAGTGAGGGGACGAGAGGAGGCGGAAGAGGGGTGTGACGGACCGACCGGTGTGTTTGGTTTCCACGATGTTCGACTCATCATGAGGAGATTGGAAAGAAGCGTGCCCAGCAAGGTAAGGTAAGGTGAGGTGAGGTACCTACATGTGGACAAGGGCAAGGGGTGTTCTGCCATCCAGCAAGAGACAAAAACCAAGGCAGAGAGGGAACAGGAAAGAGGGCGAGAGAAACCAGACAAGCAAAACATCGGATTACACGGTCCACGTGGGGTCGACGGAGACTTGCCTTCTCGTCGGAATTGTTCCTCCAAAGAGACGCCTGCGTGTGTATGTGTGTGTTGGTTGTCGTTGAGTTGAGTCCTCCAAGTCTCGAATCGGAGAAGGAGGTTGTAAGAACTCTAAATAAACCTTCTCTCACGACTCATAGTCATCAGACGATCGTCGACACACTTCTCTTTCCGCAATCGAGATGGAGGGGGAAGGAGAGGGGAGGGGGGGGGTGGTAGTGCCAGATAGAGTAGGAGAGCCAAGAAGAAAAGGACCGTTTCCACGCTAGATGAAAAGAAGGAAATCCTTCCTTTGCAGACACAAGCGAAAGAAAGAATAAACTTTGCTTTTCAATGAGGAAAGAGTCAAGTCGGGCCAGGTTCGCTAATTGAGACGGGTGGACGTTGAGGGAAACTCTCCTGCTTAGTCGTGACGAGGAACCTTACGTCGGAACTTTAATCAATATCATCGAATCCCCGTTTCTCTGTTGGCCGATGTCTGTTTGTTTTTTTCTGCTCAAGTTGCAGGGCCGACGTCGCGGCGAGACAACCGACAAAGGGAACGACAGAAGCCGAAAGAGGGAACATGAGGGGAAAGAGGGCACAGGAACAAAGTTTTCATCGGTGAATCATGTTTTTGTATTCTTGTCTGACTGGCGGCGACCAATCCATTGAATGTCTATCTCTGCATTCTTTTGTTTCGACTTCGGTTCTTTCTGAACTGAAGAGACCTCGTTTTGAAGAGGCTTTTGAATATGGACAATATCTATCTACAGATGGCAACTTGCCAATCGAGATAGATCATTTGGGGGTATCATACGGTAACAACGCTGAGCGTAACATCCCTCGATAGAGATGGCGGGGGAATAAACTTTGGGAAACATCCCGCGGCTGGAGCCCGTGCTTAGCTGGAGAAACAGGGAAGGGCGGAAACCCGGGATCTGCGTCCCACGGCAGAGCCGCAATCAGGTGCCGACGCTGAACAGCCTCAATGTCTAGAAACATTGAGGTATCGTGAAACAACTGCCCTGGCTGGCCCGTGATTTTCACAGCACAAAGGCCTGACGGTTCCTGGAGGTCCCCGATTGCGGACCGTACGGCCAAACTCGCTTTTCGTTTCGTTTTGTTTTTTTCCGAGTCAGCCCCAACTCAAGTGGACTCGCCGCTTCCCACCTGTACTGGTGAGGCTGCCGAAACTTCGGCGTTGCAGCGGAAGAGATTCATCTAGCAGGTTCTCGCCTGAGGATTTCACGTCTTGGTCTTTCTTCTCTTCTTCGAGGCGTTGCTAGCACTACGATCCGATACAGCACGGACCGAGGTGTTATAGCTTGTCTCCGAGGCAGCGCCGTCACCACCATCTTCACTCGCAGAGTCATCGTCTGATATGTCATCCAGCGGGATCATGTCGTCTGAGGCCTCACCTGCGTCTTCAGATGCCTCGGCCAAGGACTTGTCGCCCTCAGCCTTGTCATCGTCAGACCCGAAACCTTCAAACTCCTCATCGTCCCCTTCTTCTTCGTCACTGGAGGGTCCCATTGACGTATCGGCCACGCTCTCGGCCACATCAGTTGCGTCACGCTTCCGCTTCTGGGGCATCTCGCCAAGCCTGCCGCCACGACCCTCAATGCCCTCGGGAGTCTCCGTGCCTTCTTCCTCAACAGGCGCGGGAGTGAACCAAGGGATTTTGCCACGCATGAAGTCGTTGAGGACCATCTTGGCAACACCGTCCAAGTCGGCCTCTCCGTGCTTCAGCAGACGACCACCCTTTCGGGCAAGCATCTCGAGAAATTCGACGTGATTGGTCCAACCCTTGAGTCCGTATGTTCTCTCCATGTGATGTGTCTTCACCTTCTCGAGCACAGCAGGGATGTACTGCTCAGGGTTGTGGACGTTCTCAACACGAACAACACCTCTCAGGAGAAGATCCTGAGGGGTGTCGGTCTGCGACGGCGGCACAATACCAGGGCAATCAATCATGTCTTTGACAGATTAGTTCTATGTTGAAGTACGTCGAAAGGAATGGAACGATGACTTACAGATCTTGCGGGTGAGTGTGATGTACTGCCAGACCTTGGTTTCACCGGGAATCGGTGCAACGTTGGCGACCTTCTTCTGTCTCAGGGTGTTGACGATGGAACTCTTGCCGACATTAGGGTAGCCGATGAGACCAACAGAGATCTGCTTGCGGTCGCTGTGGAGCTTGGCGTACTGTCTGAGCAGCTCAATCAGACTACCCTTTCCGAAGGGATTCGTCAGACTAGAGTGCATCGCCAGCGTAGGCTTGTCCTTTGAGAAGTGCTTCACCCAACGGGCCTGTATCGAATTAGCTTCTGCATGAAGCAAATAATTCAAGAATCAAAAATGATCTGGAAGGTATGTATGCTTCACTACTAAGAAATACCACCATCGAAAGGCTCGAAAGAGCACTGGCAGACTTCAACTCATCGGAAGCAATTCTGTCTCATGATAGGAAATCCAAAACGGATCCCATCAGCCCTGATCCAAGGACCAGGACAGCGAGACAGCCCTCGATTTTCCCAGTGTTTAACGGAGAACTTCCATTGTAAGCACTCAAAGAGTGCGGAACGCTTCCTGACAAAGACACTGGGGTGTGGGATGGGGGGACAGAATAATGAGCTTGAGAAACT